TCACAATTCAGCAGTTTTTAGTTGAGTACACTGGTTTTCTCGCATTTTTCCATCAGTTACGATGAAACCCGTTTGTTTCCGCAACTGAGAATCATTGATTCGAGATGTTTGTCACGTTCTTAGAGGAATGGGAAGTCGAAAACATATTTCAAATCACTAAGAACAGAGATTCAAATATGATTTGTATTTCCAGAAACGAAACTTGTAACTGTCATCCATCATCAGGATGTAATTCTAACTTACGAGGGAACATTCCCAACTGTCACATCGCTTTTGAGTCGATCGTATGCGCATCCTGTAGGCCCTAATGATTAATGAATACTCTGAAAAAAGTTCGTATCGCTAGCTTATTACTGTCGAGATATTGCATTTTTACTGTATGTTTAAGAAAAAAAGCTGTGGTCCCCCTCAGGAACATTAGAAAAACTAAGTTTCAAATTTCGACTTGAAACCTTGCATAGAGATAGGCCTCAGTGAGAATAGTTTATTGTGAAAGTTTCAGATCGTTTCGTTGTTCCTATCCTAAGATACTGCTATGGTAAAATAGCTTATACACGCCAGCCGATTCTGATGTTCTTATTTCAGACTAGGAGCAATCAAAAGATCTGAAACTTTCACAATAAATTATTCTCATTGAGACCTGTCCCTGTACAGAGTTTCAAGTTGAAACTCGAAACTTAGTTTTCCTAGTGTTCCTGAGGAGGACCACGGCTTTTTGCTTATACATACAGTAAAAATGCAATATCTCAGCAGTAATAAGCAAGCAGCACGAACTTTTTTCAGAGTATTCATAGATCATTAGGATCTACATGATGCGTATACACTCGACCCAAAAGCAATGTGACAGTTGGGAATGTTCCCTCGTTAGTTTTAACACAAAAGTCGAAACATTTGTGAGCACACAAGATTTTTTTTTGCATTTATCTCTTTTCGAATTATGTTCATTTGTAAAAGAATATGTTACACCTAGCTCATTCTAAAAATTAACGACATCAGAATGTTGTTGAGTGCTTAAACTACAATACATCATTGGCTTACATAATGAGTTATTGAAGATCATTCAGTTTGTCATCTATCTGTTAGATTCGTACAAATTTTCGAGATAATATCAAAGAACAATCTAATTTTGATATTGTATAGCAATGATTTATTCTTCTGAACATTGATAGATTTTTAAAAAAAAATGTTTTTGTACTTTAGGAATTAATGTCAAATTTTGATGAGGTTATCAATGATTCACATGGTAAAAAAGTACTTATGTATTTAATTGCGCCACGTAATACTAAACATTTACAATATGAACTTGTTCAATTAATGAAAACAAGTGATTCATTAAGTACTAGGTAATATTTCTTGTTATAAATTATAATTAATATATATGTACAAATTATTTTTATTAGTAAAAAAGATTCTAATATTCGACAACATGAATTATTTGAATATTGCAAATCATATTTTTTGGAATATTTTACAACAAATATTCTTTCAACATTAAAAGATGGTTTTCAAGGTTTTATGATGACTGAAATGATTGAAAGACTATCACGTAAGATTTTGAGATTTTTTTGTTTTTATTGATTTATTTTAATATTTGTTTGATTCTTTTTTTCTTTTAAGCTGATGATAATCTATCATCATTTTATACATCAATAAGTACAGTATTGAGTACATCATCTGTTGAACCTCAAGCAGAAACAAATCTTATTGAACATCAAACTGCTCATAATGTTTTAAGACATTTAATTATAGCTGATGGAAAAAGACAAAAAAAGAATAAACATAATCAAAGTAAGATTTTATATAAATATTTTATTTTTACATCAATTTTTATTTGTTTTAGCACTTGTATCAACATTATTATCATCAATTTCACCTGATACATTACGTACATGGATATTATGTAATCGTGGTTGTTTCATTTTTGTCATGTAAATAAAAATTTTAAATTCTGTTTGTTTTTTTTTTTAATTCTTCAATTTTGTTTAGGATGCTCGAACATGGTCAATCTGATGAATGTGAACAAATTCGATCACTTCTTGTACCATCTGCTATGGATACACTCAAACGGCAAACATTTGCTGGAGCTAAAATCCTTGTTGAAAAATTGTTATCTTCTTCTTGAAGAATAAATATCTTTCTAACGTTGGATTAGAATAAAGAAAACACTTGATATTCTTTTCTTAGATATAACGTTATATTTCATGATCTAAAAAATCTTGCTGAATATAAGAATGAGTTCAACGAAGAAAACTGATTTTTGTGATAAACAAAATCTGAAATAGCAAATCAAGCGTTATTAAAATGGTTTTTTATGTAAAGTTGTGTCATATATATGATCTTTGTTGACAATATTTATATTGTGACAACGAAAAACTAAATGTAAAATATCACTATCGTTTTCCATAACATTTTCATTTATTAATATTTTTGAATGGTTAATAGATGAGTAATATAGATATTGATTTTTATTGAAGTAGATTAAACTGTGATATTTATTTACATTAGTAGAAAATTTTATTTAATCAAGTCATAATAGCAAATTATTAATAAAATGAATATAAAGAGAAGACATTTTTTTAGAGCTAAAAGTGAATGGTTTTTAAGAAATTTCGAATTTATAATTGTAACAATGATATTTTGATGCTATTTTGTGTCAACATTATCATATATATGATTGTAAACCTCGATATTTAATATAGATAACGATGGCACTAGGAATGATGTTACTAGGTACGTTTATATTGAAAGTAATGCTATTCGGAATAATAATAGTAGGTTCATGGGTATTTTAAAATGGTGATATTGAAAATAAACAGTATTACGTTACGTTCATTCGTATTACGAACAATTAAAGCTAAACAATGTTATCTAGAATAACATATTGTTTGTATTTTAGATCAAAGTAATGTTCGAATAAAATAAATAAGGACGGGCTGATGATGACGATGACACAAAATAGCATAGAACTATTACTATTAATATTATACATTTGAAAAAAAATTTTTTTGGAAAATTTTATAATTAAGAAATCGCAGCAATATTCAGATTGAACTCATTTATTAATGTATACAGCAATATAATAGAAGAAGAAAACTATCTAGAACGATTTGTTCTGATTTTACATACCAAATAACTAAAACAAAAACAGTGTCAATAAACAAGAGGATGAAGATCGTTCGAAAAGGATGTGAGTGTGAATGTAAAAAGAATAAATCCCGCATCCACACCCCACTCTGGCTTGCAACTTGTTTTCTTTGATCTTATAAAATCTCGTAATCAAATAAAGAAACAAATTTTTCATTGGATATAAAAAAACATACAAGCTAACCTTATGAAGAATATTCTCAAGTGTCAAAAAGCTTTTCAGCCAGGACTTCGCGCATTTTATCGGTCTTAATGAACTATGTTTAATATAAATAGAGTTCGTGCTTATGGCTTGATTCTTATGAGATTCAGTGGTTTTACTATTACAGCTATCAGAGTCATCCTATCAAGGAAAAAACACTGTCTTAATCAATACAAGTTGACTGACGAGAGAAGTCCACCAACTCTCCAAGCGCTTTTGAATCGAGACCATGTGTATTATGTAGATCCACATGGGCTATGAATACTCTGACAAGAGTTAGTGATCTTAGCTTATTGCTACGGAGATATTGCACTTCTACGGTAAGTCACTGTTCCTGTTTTAAGATACAACTACGCTAATAGGATATCTTTTACATCACTCAGATAAAATAGCAGATCTGATGTTCTTATATAATTTTTTTCTGATGTTCCTAAGGGAGGAGGATGGTAGCACTATTTTAAACAATATTGATGTTCTCAATCTCGAAAATCTTTAATAATAGAATTTTAATGTGTAAATGTCTAAAAAATTTAATTATTATATCGAAATATGTAATTCAATGTTATCCATCTATTTCGAATTACATTATCTAAGTAAATATAATATTAAGTAATTCCACCTAAACAAGTTCCGTCAAGACAGAGACAACTGTTATCGTGAATCGGTGATATTTCTAAATACACACCCACACCCATGCCCACATCGTTGATTGAATCTTTTTAGCTGTATGCAATTGAAATAGTCAATCAGAAAACTGTACCAGTGTTCAGAAAAGTGTAAAGTGTACTATTGTTAGTAAAATTTGACTTCTAACTCATATTTTGTCTAAGAAACTGTTTCTCAATGGAATGAATAGAAGGAAAAATGACAGCTCCATTTTGTCTTACTCTTAATGATTATTATATATTCTAGGCAGCAACTTGGAGTTCTAAAACTACAACCAACTTTACAATCAACTTATAGCTCGGTGCTTTTTTTTAATGTTTGGAATCATATCCTTTCCGCATTAGGTATCAATATTTCTTCATTTGTTTTTTTTCATTCTTTCACATTAATAGAGCACTGGATGAAGAGTGTCTGCTTGAGATTCAACGATTTATGCTGAAATAGCATGTGTTTTTATGCATTTATCATAGAGATTACTGGTCTTCTTTTTTGGAAGGTTTAAAAATAAATGTGAGACAGCCAAAAGCATCTATTTAATAGGATTTAAATTATAAAAGAGTAATCATTTATATAAGATTAGAACTTCGTAATAAATTTAGTTAAGCTAGTTGGATAAGTTTCAAAACATTGTCTTCTCGCCATGCTTCATACTGATCAGATAAAATTCTTTAGTTATTTCTCGAAAAAACAAACAATCAAATTTCATCTATTTCTTTAATCTCTTTCTGAATGGTTACAAAAACAAGCAACGATCTTTCATAGCATTAATTATATGTTTTGTTAGTATGTATAAATGAAGAAGTGAGTAAGTAAAAGAAAATCTAACTAGAATTCGTACACACAAGATTCAACATCTAGGTCAATTAACACATCATGATAAAAAAAAGAAACAAGCAACATTTTCTGGTATACTTTGTAGCACTCTCAATGTGTCACAAACGAACATTTGACACCTTCAATGTTCATATATTGGATCATTGATAAGCCATTATTTACATTTGTTCAGCAAAATAGTCAAATCGTTCGAGTATTTATTAACAGTTGCTAAATCTACTTTGTTATCATCATTGAAATCACCTAATGCCATAGCAGATGGACTGCTACCAACAAGATAGGTTAGAGGAGCATAGAATGTTCCATTTCCATTATTCAGCAGTACACTCACCGTATCGTCTAGGTAGTTAGCTGATGCTATATCTAGTTGTTGATCATTATTAAAATCACCACATATTACGGAAACTGGGTTACTACCAACAGTGTAAGCGATTGACTTCTGAAAGCTTCCATCAGCATTACCAAAGAACAAGCTAATAGTGTTGTCTTCAGAGTTAGCCACTACTAGGTCCAGGTTTTTATCACCGTTGAAGTCACCTAATGTCACTGAAGCTGGACTTTGACCAGTCTCATACGTCGTGTTAGTAATAAAAGTTCCATTTCTAGTACCAAGCAGTACACTGATAGTGTTATCACCATAGTTGACTACTGTCAGATCTAGGTTGCTATCACCATTGAGATCATTACAAATCGCAAATATAGGATTACTACCAACAGTATAGTTCATTTGATTCCATAAGATTCCATTTCCATTGCCAAGTAATATAGCGATGGAACTATTCTCAAAGTTGGTTACTACTAAGTCGAGGTTGTTATCATTGTTAATATCACATGATATGACACAAGAAGGACTCTTGCCAGTTGCATACTTGATTTGGTCTTTAAACATTCCATTTCCATTACCAAGTAGCAGGCTGATGCTATTGTCATCTTGATTAGCCACAGCTACATCTAATTTATTATCATTATTGAAATCACCTGATGTCACAGAAGATGGTTTTGCACCAGCTTTAAATTGAGTTCGAGTGTAAAATGTTCCACCAAACCGGCCAAGAAGTATTGTGACAGTAAACTCAAAGTAATTCACTACTGCTAGATCTAGTTGTTGATCATGATTAAAATCACCTGATACTGCAGAGCGTGGACCACTGCCAGTGGCATACTTGACTTGTTTCTGAAAGGTTCCATTGCCACAACCAATTAGCACACTCACGCTACTTTCGAATTGGTTGGATACTACGAGATCTGGTATATTATCATTGCTGAAATCACCTGATATCACAGATATCGGAGTGGTACCAGTCCCATACTTAGTTTGGAGCTGAAGTGTTCCATCTCCATTACCTAATAAGACGCTGACAGTACCTTCCAGATAGTTAGCTACAGCGATATCCAGTTTGTTGTCATTGTTGAAGTCATTTACTGTTACAGCTTCTGGACTGCTACCAACAGGATACTTCCTTGGAGCTTGAAAAGTACCATCGCCATTGCCAATCAGTAAACTAACAGTATTGTCGCCTGAGATAACCACTATAAGATCCATATTAGTATCGTTGTTGAAGTCACCTGATGCCAAACTATATGGGTTGGGACCACATTCATACAACATCGAATCGCCCAAAGTTCCATCTCCATGGCCAAGAAAAATGCTCACAGTAGTTTCACCATAATTGACTACTACCACATCCATTTTCTTGTCATTGTTGAAATCAGCAGATATGACAGCCATTGGCTTAAAACCGGTCGCGTACTTCGTTTGAGTTTGGAAGCTTCCGTTGCCATTACCAAGGAGGATGCTCAAGGTGTTTTCTGCCAAATTGACTACCGCTAGATCACTGTTGGAATCATTGTTGAAATCAGCTATTGCCAAAACATATGGTTGATTACCAGCTTTGAACTTCTTTTGACTCTGAAAAGTAGCATCGTCATAACCAAGAAAGAGACTAACAGTGTCTGCTCCTTGATTGGCCACTACAAGATCCAGCTTGCCATCATGATTAAAATCATCTGATAGTATAAAACCGGGTAAAGGACCAGTAGTATATTTTACTTGAGTTTGAAATGTTCCATTTCCTTGACTTATAAGTATACCAACGTCGTCATCCAGCTGATTGACCACTATGATGTCTACTAGTTGATCGTTGTTGAATCTTCCCAGCGTTAAAGAGACAGGAGAACTACCAGTTTTATAGTTCATTGGAACTCCATATGGATCTTGACATAGATCTAATGAAAGAAGACAAGAGTAAAAACTAAATTGCCATCTTAATAACAGTCCATAGCTAAGTATTTACTTTCGAAAAGAATGAGAAGCACTAAGGTTAGAAAGATGACTTTTATGTATATATATTTCTAAAAATTACACACTAACAGCCAGCAAAAATTTTCATTATCCTGTTTCTAGATGTAAAATATTCATCACAAATTCGCATATTGTCATTTCAAAAGAAGTTAATTTCTATACGAGAAAAATAATTTAACTAAGCTGTTTTCTTAATGATCTATTGATTGGAAATAAACAAAAAAACGGTTTCTGAACCTCCGGAAGAAATCTGAGGATTAAAAAAAAAACTGTTTGTAAAATTGACATGAAAAGCTTCTAACTCTTTGTTAGGTTCCGTAAAAAATATGTTCGGTATCCCATTAATGTTCCTTGCTTTGAGCAAATGTAGGCTTCCACCCAATGGTGAGTAGTAATTTCTCCTTAGAAATTTCCATATTTTAGTAAGCTACAGAGTGAGATTGTCTCTTTTAAACAAAGAAATAAATCTCCCTAGGAGTGGCAAACTACTAAACCACGATCGATTCTGTTACGATTAGTTACAGTGAAACTTCTCTAATATGAGCACTATCAGGATTGATCAAGTGTTCACTTTCTGCAGATACTGATTATTGAAAGGTTTATAGGTTTTTCTTCAGTCTATTAGAATTCAGTTTCAATCGCTTTAGAACCACAGAAATTAATCTTTTGCTCCTTCTCGATAGTTAATTAGTTCAACTTCTTCAATCAGAGGTTAATCAAAACGTGTTAGTACAGGATAAGATGTTATATAAGGTTGTTACTGTTGTTGCCTAACACATTTTTGCTTAATCCACACAATTACTATAGTCCGTCGCCTTCTTTTACGTACTCTATAGTTGTTTATTCTAACATGATATATACAATCTCATTTTTTTCTCGTTCTGCTCATGAGTGACACAATACGTTGCTCATATTACAGAAGATGTTATTGATCACGAGACCGAAGATGAGTGCTCACTATCTAATATAAGGAGATACTAATTTTGCAGAGGTGTCCACATATAGAGGTTTTACTGTAGTCAAGTGATGACTACTTATTCGTGAAAAAACAAATGGTCAGATACGTTAAAATACTATTCAACTAAACTAGATTTGTTATACTCTTATTTTGAGTTGCTACTGAATTATTTTCTCTGAATGACTCTTCGTTCAGTGTCCTACAGTTGCAGAAATACTGATATTTTGTTAATGATTCATTTTCTTATTTATTACATCAGAACTCTAATTACATACCGTGCTGTTTATCAAAAATTGTTCCAGCATCAATAAGTATGGAATAATCTGTTATGTATCTATGAAAATTTTACAGAGTGGCATCATCTCACCTGTTAAATATGTACTTTCACAATCATTTTTTCATCAATGTCCTTTATGAAGTTGTATACGTTAAAAATAATCGACAATTTTATGACACCGATAGACTAATATCTAGACCTTTACGCTTCGATTCATTTATACTTCTGTCATTCTGACAGTACAATGCACTCTTTTGAACTAGCCTAGATTGGTCTACTCTCCTTCTCAATTCATAGATTCTTTTCATTCTTACAAATCCTGCATCACTTCTAACGGTTTCATGTATAATAAAGTTCAAACAGATTTTGGTTTGAAGATATCAATCGTCTTAAATGCTAAACATCATCAAAAGTCTACCTTTCTTGTCACCAGAATATTTAGTTCCCATAACAGTACCGATAATGGTTCCAATAATGCACATAGTCGCCAAGAAACACATCGGAAGGATGTATCGCTTCTTCCGAAACCAATGTCGCCTTGAAAATCATATGAAAAAAAGTCTCATCAAAAATAGACTTATATTAATATGAGAGGATCCTTACTTCTTTACTGGATAAAGACGTGCGTCTAAACAAAAAATACGCAATAGTTTAGTTAAAAGCAAGCCTATTGAACATATTTCGAATACCTTCGAATGGAGGTTCAAGTAATATTTGTTCTGGTACAACTTGTTTCAAGTGAACAATGTAAAGATCAGTAGCTGGATTCAATTGAGATTGAACTATCATCTGAGTGCCGGGCAGAAGAAGAATTTCATCTTCGGTGACAAAATGTGAATGTGCTCGTATTGTTCGACCATTAATGGCTTCGACAGAGAAGAGTGTTCGCCCTCCTGAAGTGCCCAAATATGTACTGTTTTCGAGCACAGTCAGTGAAGTTGTTGTTGATGAAAATGTCCACCATGTCACGATGGTACCAGGTGGAAACTCTGCACTCAAATTTTTGGTTACTCCTCGCCAAACAGTTAGCGATGGAACACATGGTAATTTGGCAAGAGCAGTTAAGAACAGTTTGAGATATTTAAAGTAAGGTTGAAGATCTTCACGATTGGCCATCTTCAGTGTATAATTAAGCATCGAATAAAGACTTCGATGTGGGGATTCCCATTCCATTGTGTAGAGTCGAATTGCAGCACTCTCATCGATTGTTAGTTCATCATATGGCTCTTCTGGAGTTTCGTCGAGTGCCATTTGAACATATTTTGATAAATCATAGAGAATATTCGACAGTGGGGCACATGCTTTCACCAGTGGCAGCAAAGGTTCATTGGCATAGCCAACGATGGGACTAAGGTTCAACTTGGAATCGTTCATGTTGTTTGTAGTTGTTGCAGATTGGTCTCTGGCATAAGCTTCTGCAGCCTGATCTCTATCTATACTCCAATCGTTCATTGCCTTAGTAATATCCTCTGTCGACATTCTTAGATCGCTGCTGTCATCTATTTTTTCTTCATTTGACCGATCACATTCGTACGAAGAATAATTCGCGATTCCATCTTTGTTCTTCGTCACCATTTGAAGATTATCTACATTTGCATTGTTGTCTGATATTGATGTTGTCTCACTCAACATCTCATCATGTTTGATTGTTACTCGTTTCTTCTTCTTTTTATAGCGAATCATTGTCTTTTCATTCATCAATGAATGTTGATCCTAAAACATACCAATAATCCATTATTACATCGATCATTAAAAATGATTAATCCTCCACCTCCTCTCATAAACAAACTTTTTTATTTGTCATCCAATTCCAACCAAAATATCAGAAAATGTTAGCCTTGACTAAAATAGTATATGGTTAAAATATCTTCCCGAATCTGCAGGACACTGCCTAGTTATAGTCGATTCATTGGTCAAAAACACCTTAGATACGGACAAAGTTTTCAAAGTAATGATGAGAGCTCAGTATATTATGACGGTTTGAAATTGCATAGAGTATCCTTAGGGCTAGATCGTAACAGAGATCGATTTCTACGCTATTCTTCAAGTTGTATTAATGACGTGTGCGTTGATACATCATGCTTAAATTGTAGTCCTGGCTCCTTATACGTAGATGTCACTTGTTGTCACAGTTGTTTTTATTCATTTTCTGATTAATTTATGAAATAATATTTTATTTAATCGATATATTTTACCGTTGTTCATAGTTCGAGAACTGAAACTTTCAGAACGAAAAGATTTTAATTAGTTATATATATCATAAAAATTTCATCTCTTTCGATCAAGCAAAAGTACGAAAAATATCGTTAACACTTTATCCTCAGTTATTATGAAACAATCTATATAGGTCAGTAGCACATCCTCAGAAAAAACCAATTGACATGATTTGCAAAAGAAATTATACTCTACTGTAGTCTGTTACAAGGAGTATTAGAATACGTATAAATTTCAAAATGGATTTTTTTTTTTTTAAAAATTGACTTTTCCGAAAGGAAACCTCCTTAACAACTCATTATTTTCCTTCTTTACCCTCTGTTGTTGTTGTCAGTTAGAATTCGACAAAATAACAACACTTTTTTCTATATGCTTTGAAGATGAAATAGAACTAAACAAAAATACAAGTAATAATTACATACCAGTTCACTATCAGTCATGTTCATCACAGCCTGCTTATCAAACATGTGAACGACTGTATCATCTTCTTGTGTTCGAGTTTCAAAACTATCAATATTCATATTGTCCTTTCTACCATCATACGATTGTTTGTTTAATAATAGATCAATAAACATAGTGTTTGTTGGCGATAATTATACACCCACATGTTCTTTCTATTTTCGTTCTCTCTTTATCTATACCTTAACCGGCTTTTGATTAGTATTTTTCGGTGTATAGATATACGTTGAATCACCGTTTGTAAAGTGCGAAATATCGCATCACATGGCGTTTTTCACCTTATCGTTTCGTCAAGAAAACTATTATAGATCATAATGATAACAATGGTCGATTCCTAAATATATTTAAATAGCAGATTAACACTCTTTTGATTATGCAAATAGAGTGTCATGTCAACTCTTTTGAAAATTTTTATTTCATGCAGACGCTATAAAAGTTATATCATTGAAAAGAGCGTGAAAAACTGAACATGAATCAATCATTTTTTCTGCGGGGTATGCTAAAGTTTTCAGTAAATTTGTTTAAAATACATTTTATAGCAGATATCATACAATCATTGTTCTTTTCAATAAGTTTTTTATATGTTCTTTTTTTTCTCTATATCTCGCTTCTTTTTCATTGCACATGTGCGTGCGTATATGAATAAAATACTTTACATATTACATCGAATGTATAGAAAGAAAAAAAATATTATGCTTATTATCGTATAAGTAACAAAGAAAGCGATGATAATGATGATGATGGTGATGATAGAAGGACTTTGTTTGAGTAACTATTAATGAAAAAAATCTTTGTATTAGATGACCATATCCTACGCTAAACTAGTAATTGTTATTAGAATGAAAATACAAGAGCTTTAAATAAAATATAATGGAAAAATGTCTCAAACATACTGAAGAATGTGTCTCATAAGTCTCACTGATTCAACTCTTTTCGAACAATAAATTAATTTCTTCTTATCCTCTTTTAAATTAAGACCAGTCTATGCATATTCTAAATTCATTCAAAATCTAATCAATAAATTATCTATATTTCGTTGTTTTTCTATGTTGATGATCATCAATAACACTAATTGAAAATCAGTAAGGCCTATCAATATCTACATCAGGGCTTCGCATTGGATGGGATTGTCCCATCCCATCCCATGTCATGAAAGCAACATCTTTTAAAATGTTTTTTTTATTAAGAACAATGTAAAAGTTTCGCTATAGATGTCCTTCTCGCTCGTTAAAGCGAAACAAGTGAGAAATTTTTTTTTCTCTATTCTGTAAGTGGTTAAGCACTCTAACCAATAGGACGCGATAAAACAAATAATGAATCAACATATAAAGAAAGAACGCGATTTGATCTATTATAATAGTAACAAGTGATTTGATATTGGGTACAAGTGCAGTTTACACACGCCCCCATTGTGTTATATATATAAAGATACAATAGAAAAAAAAACTATTGGATAAATTGTACACCACTATTGAACGATATATCGTTCAATAGTGGTGTACAATTTATCCAATAATTTTTTTTTCTATTCTGTCTTTATATATATAACACAATAGAGGTGTACGTAAACTCCACTTGTACCTTGATTCAATAAGCTTGATCACTGCTTCGTCTTCTTCTATCATCACTTTATCCACATCTTGTGTTGCTGATTGTTCACGCCAAATTATAAAGCTATTAAAAACTCAAAGAACAATTTATCTTCTGTCTGCTGAAAAATTTTTGGTTTTCCAGCGAAGAAATCTCATGTAAAACAAGAATTTGAACCAAATCCAGCTTTTGTTAGTTGTCAATCATGTTTTCAAACATATGCGTTTACATCGCGTTTTCTTACAAGAATACTCTACGCACATTCATTTATTTCTGGTAGCTATGTACTTGAAGTAATGTTTTCGTTTATTGATTTGTTTTTTTTTGTCATATTTTACTATTTTGTATTCATTCAGAGAATGATATGTGATTTTTTATTGTGAAAGTAAAGAAAAGAATTGTGAACTGATTATGATAAAATTACGAAACACGAAGTGAAATAATATAATATTTGGTACCGTTGATCGAACTGAAAGATATATTAAAGGATTGAACTTTAAAAAAAATTGATAAGTGTTAAGTCTCATGGGATGAGATGGGATGGAAGATCTTCAAAATTGTCCCATCCCATGGGACAAAAAATTTTTGAGCATACTTCCATCCCATCCCACGCGGAGCCCTGATCTACATTCATTAATACACGTATATATTTCTTTCCATGTAAGAAAAATTATTAAAACTATTGATCAAACAAACAAAAATATGAATAAACACATTTGTTTATTTATTTTGATAAGATGGATCCATTTTATCAATATAACGATAATCTCTCGTGCGTTTTATTTTTTTTTCAAAGATAATAAATATCATGTGTTCTTGCGTGCATAGTTGAATATAAAGTCATTGAGATAGCCTCTTATTGATTAAACAAGTATTATTTTGTTATTTTGTTTTCAAATGTTTTGTCTTAAACATAGATTTCATTTTATGAATCTCGGAATTTACTAATCCTACCGTAAATCTGAATACATTTATTTTTATTCGTGTATTTCAATCGTCTTAGTTTATTGTAGATTTTAATCCACTAACATATTTTTGTTGAATACAAAAGCTATTTATCTCAAAACAAAGAATGAAAAAAAACAGTTCTTTCATGAGCATGTTGATCATTGGATAAAAATATATATTTCATATACATATGAGTTCTTATAATTACAATTTAGGGAGCGCTTCAAAATGTTTTCCGGTCAATCAGTCGTCATTCCTTCGTTCCTCTGTTCTACTTTTTCTCTATTCCGCTATCCCACTATTCCTTGACAACTCCTGTATTCCTTTATTCTCGTATTCTTCTATTCTCTTATTCCTCTATTCTATTATCTCTTCATTCCTCTATTCTTTTATTCTTTCATTTCTCTATATTGCGCCATTGCACAACATTTGATGTTGTCCTGTTTTTTTCGTTACAAAATTGACCACTTTTTGATTTTATTTCTCCATGGATAGTTAATCGCTTTCTTTGAAAGTTTTATTCATACCTCAAGCTACCCATCATATATGAAAATCAGAAATGCACGTAATGGGTGTGGGTGTGGAGTGTGGATGTGGGTGGGTGTGGAGTGTGGGTGGGTGTGGGTGTGGGGTGTGGGTGTGGGGTGTGGGCGTGGGTGTGGGTGTGGGGTGTGGGGTGTGGGGTGTGGGTGTGGGGTGTGGGTGTGGGTGTGGGTGTGGATAAAATATGATTCACCCACACTTATACCCACACACACACCCAATTCGGAGATTCGTCGATTTGATGGAATTTTCTTGATCTAACGTAATGACTAACTGCTGGAACTCCAAGTGGTATTTTGGCCTTATTGTTACTTGATAATGAAATACACTCATCGTTATATAAACTAGCCAATTCTTGTACGTAATTTACGTGAACACATGTAAATTGAAAATCTGGATGATGTTGACATTTACAATTTTGTTTTGGGGGAATTTTCGCTGAAATAATTGACTTGTAATACTTTCGACTTCTTACACATTTTGTTGGTGGTATAAATAAATGGCGTATGGTTGTATTAGATAATTTATAAATCTTCGGATAGCGACGTGATAATCTACATTCGATGTAATTATTATAATCTGTTATGGATAGACCATTAAAACGAACTATGTCGTCTCTTCGACGATCTTGTGCTTCACCACTATGTGTGTTTAATAATTTTTTTAATTCTGGAACCAACTTAGAATGTGCTATAGGATAAGATTTTCTGCCAGTTCGATCACTTTTAAAACGAAATTCTTTTAAATCATTAAGTGTCTTAGCAGATTTTTCTTTTGTTTCAAATAATAACCATTTATAGCTTAGCATAATAAAAAGTTTCGATCAGTAGTGTTATTTAAATGACTTTTTTGAATGAAGAGTTATTGAATATGTAATAAATCAGAGTACGTTTGTTGAATACTTTTATTTTGTTCTTTTTTCTCTCTCTCTAATAATATTCTAAAGTGAAAAAGGTATTACTCAGTCTTGTACCAATTAGTGTTATAATTGTATATCTTAATTGGCTTTGAAGAACTTGTATAGAATACGTCTGTACAATGAAATGGATTATGTTCTTATAATTTAATCTGTAAACGGAATTTGTGATAAATTATCGAAATGTAAGACAAACAATAACAAGAAATAAATATATACAAGAAAAAGCTAAAACAAAAATAACTTTCTTCAAAAAATCACTCTCAATTGTCGCTTGATCCCTATGATTATATTTAATCTCGAAAAACATATCGACATTTCACAATCGTCTACATAAAATTGTTTTTCTAATTTTTCGTTTTCGTATTAAACGTCTATTCACTATTATACTTCCGAAAAATTGTTAAATTGTTATCATAAACACATACTATGTCCCAAGAAATAACTGAAGATCCGTTTCAATTTTGCGGTTCACCATCAGTATCATCTGACTATGAATCCAATAGTGATCAAATCAACAACGAATTGAATTTATTATTAACGCACATTGAACGAATTGATAAGAATGTTTTGAAATTGAATCAATTAGTAGATATATTAATATCAAAGGAAACAATAATGGAAATTACATTAAGCAGTATAAATGCTGATTATATTAATACAAGAGAAATTATTCAGAAAACAGAAACATCGTGTTCAAAAATATTGAATATTATTGAAGAACGAGCATTATCGTATGAACGAGCAATTGAAGATGCTGCACAACAACTTCAAATGGTGGCACAAAAAGTAATAAATAACTTTTCAATCGTAAGACTAATGTGGAAGAAATTAAAATTACGAGTGTAATGAAACTTTCTTAGAACCCCACGGCTAGAAAAGGATAGTGGTCTATTCGCTCGTGTAGAAAATATTCACTAGCATACGCTCATAGAAATAGTGATGCTAACGGCTTTTGTACCAGTACCAACTGATATTATATTGTATTTTTCTTTTATCGTTTAGGTATGTCTGATCTCAAAAAAAAAACATAAAACGTTTTGAAGTGTTGAGTTCAGCTATTGATACCGATACAAAGGGAAAAAACTCATTTGGAACCATTACGAGTGGCTGAGAATGACCGAATGAGTTTTTCCTCTTGCTTTTAACTCTCTGTCATAAGACTTTGCCCAAAAACTTTAGATGATTCAGAGCTTGAACAAAAAACTCCTATGGTAACATAAACTCAATACTTCTAAACTATCATGACAAACACATATTTCGGACATGACTTTTTTCAATGAGGAAGTTTCGAGTTAATTGAGTATTGCCGAAAGTGTACATCTTTTCAACGTATCGAATTCAAAAGAGCCTACTAGATAGAATATACTTGTAACACATTATCAAAGGTTTGCAAAATCGAAATAGAGTTGCTCTATTTTCGTATCAATAAGTCAAATCATCGCTTTAGTCCAGCAAAACAATTGATTTTTGATTGATTCTGATGTAGTTTATTGCTTCAGTAGGTTTTCGATTAGCAAATCAAGTTCAATAAAAACCAATTGAATAATTGAAGAGCTAATCGAAAAAAAAACTTTCTCATCTTTGTGAAACAAAATGAACAATAAAGAGGGTTTTTTTTCAAGAAATATATTCACTCTTAGAATTTTCTAATTTTTTTTTCTTCATTTTGCTTGTTTATTTTCACCTATCGATAAGCGG